GAACACATGACCATAACACAAGGCACAGATCACTCTTTGATGTTCCTCGTGTCCATCTCACACTATGCAAAAACTCAATGCACATAAAAGGCCCTAAAATCTGGAATTCATTACCTGTAAATATAAAAGAAACACTACCTGTTTATAAATTCAAGTCTCTTCTCAAAGTTCACTTACTCACCCAAAACCAAATAAATACTGAATAACTGAACCTTATAAATTGTATATCTTAAATGTTTCTCACAATTATATCACATAAATGTTAAACCTAAAACCGAATCTAACTTTATTATTTTTTAAATACACTACCTAACAGAATCCTTCATATGACTGAATGCAACCATATGACCTGTCTTTGTAATACTCACTTGTGCTTTATAGTAATCTGTTTACAATAATGTTTTATCACTGATTTCACCATTGCTTAGTTAATCTTAAGCCAGCCCGTAATGCTATGCATAGTATAAGTGGCTTTGGCATGCTGCTCTTACCTGTATTTTTTTGTACCTCTGTATGTGTGCTCAAATTGGTAATAAATAAAATAAATAAAAGTAACTGGGTCACACACCACACTCCACGTAATATTCTGGTAACTGTCACACACCACACTCCACACAATATTCTGGTAACTGTCACACCATGCGCTCCACGCAATATTCTGGTAACTGTCACACACCACACACTCCACGTAATATTCTGGTAACTGTCACACACCACACTCCACAATATTCTGGTAACTGGGTCACACACCACACTCTCCACACAATATTCTGGTAACTGCGTCACACACCCTCCTAATACAGTGTGCAGTTAACCTTTGTGTTAGGAGTGAAGGTCCCAGACCCGGAATGTTTTCTATAAATACGTGCTAGCGTTTGATTACGTGTTTTTCTAAGCCTCTTACCTAACTGCTTACCTTCCTACCTACTTTCCTCCCTACCTACTTACCTTCCTGCTTACCTACGTACCTTCTTATCTACTCAAAACGTAAAGTAATGAATTTTGGGTTTGCTGAAGGTTGGTTGATTGGTGCAGCAGTTGTTAGTAGACTATGAACCAGTTGGCAGCCTGTGGTTGTGTGGTAGACATGGTGTTGTGTGATAGGTCTGGTGTTGTGTGATAGATCTGGTGTTGTGTGGTAGATCTGGTGTTGTGTGGTAGGTCTTGTGTGGTAGACCTGGTGTTTTGTGATAGATCTCGTGTTGTGTAGTAGGCCCAGTGTGGTAGACCTGGTGTTGTGTGATAGGTCTGGTGTTGTGTGATAGGTCTGGTGTTGTGTGGTAGGTTTAGTGTTGTGTGATAGATCTGGTGTTGTGTGTTAGGCCTGGTGTTGCGTGTTAGATCTGGTGTTGTGGTGTTAGATCTGGTGTTGTGTGTTAGATCTGGTGTTGTGTGTTAGATCTGGTGTTGTGTGTTAGATCTGGTGTTGTGTGTTAGATCTGGTGTTGTGTGTTAGATCTGGTGTTGTGTGTTAGATCTGGTGTTGTGTGTTAGATCTGGTGTTGTGTGTTAGATCTGGTGTTGTGTGTTAGATCTGGTGTTGTGTGTTAGATCTGGTGTTGTGTGTTAGATCTGGTGTTGTGTGTTAGATCTGGTGTTGTGTGTTAGATCTGGTGTTGTGTGATAGGTCTGGTGTTGTGTGATAGGTCTGGTGTTGTGTGTTAAGTCTAGTGTGTGTTAGGTCTGGTGTTGTGTGATAGGTGTAAAGTGGTGTGGTAGGTGTGAATTGGTGTGATAAGAAATAGGCTGGGTCAGCAACCAAGGATAACACAAAATTCTGGAGAACTGGCTAGATAAGTACACTTGTCTGCATGATAATATCCATAAGACAAACGTTACTTATAGCAGCAGGATTTCTAGCACCTGCTTCCTGGAAATCCCTTCGGGGTGGCGTCTCACTGTCCACAGGGGCTGTTGATTGATGAGTTATTCTTAAAATTTGTCCCAAAGGAGCGTATATCCAGCATTTCGCTATCTGAAATGCGTAGTGGTACTCGGGTTGGTCTAGTGGCCTGGTGGTTAACGCTCTCGCTTCACACGGTGAGGGCCTGGGTTCGATTCCCAGCCAGAGTAGAAACATTGGACGTGTTTCTTTCCACCTGTTGTCTATGTTCCCCATCAGTAAAATGGGTACCTGGGTGTTAGTCGACTGGTGTGGGTCGCATCCTGGGACACTGACCTAAGGAGGCCTGGTCACAGACCGGGCCGCGGGGGCGTTGACCCCCGGAACTCTCTCCAGATCTCCAGATAAACTCCACAAGAGTGATTGGTAAATCACCCACATCTATCAGATGTGGGTGTGACTGAACTTACCTGGGTATTGTAACTGACCAAATATACCCCAGTTTGTGGTAAGGGAAGTGTACCCCATTATTGATGTCTTGGGTAAGCTACTACAGTTGTGTAATTATGTCCTCATTCGTTGATTGGGTGTCCCTTTCCTCATTCGTGACACGATAGGGTGATATCCCTTTGTTCGTAACACCAGAATATATACCGC